GAAGAATCGGTACCCGCTCCCGCTCATCGCCGAACTCATGGACCGACTCAAGAACGCCAAGATCTATACGGCGCTCGACGTTTGCTGGGGCTACAACAACATCCGGATTAAGACCGGTGACGAATGGAAGGCCGCGTTTACGACCAATCGAGGACTGTTTGAGCCTACAGTTATGTTCTTCGGGCTCACCGGCTCCCCCAGCACGTTCTCCGCGTTCATGAACGACATCTTCAAGGACCTTATCGTCGAAGGAAAGATCACCGTGTACCTGGACGACATACTCATCTTCAGTAGCGACCTTACGGAACATCGCAAAGTCGTGCACGAGGTCCTCAGACGATTAGAAGCGAATGACCTCTTCCTAAAGCCGGAGAAATGTCAGTTCGAACAGTCACAGATCGAGTATCTGGGCATGATCTTCTCCAAAGGACGCGTGGGCATGGACCCGGTCAAAGTCAAGGGAATTGCAGACTGGCCAACTCCTCAGAACGCTTCGGACGTACGGAAGTTCCGTGGCTTTGCCAACTTCTACCGACGATTCATCCACGACTTCAGTGCCATCTGCAAACCGCTGGACCGACTTACGGGCAATAACCCCTGGCAGTGGGGCTAGGAAGAGCAACGCGCGTTCGACGAGATCAAACGACGGTTCTGTGAAAGTCCGGTCCTCTGCATCTATGACCCGGAACGGAAAACGCGAGTGGAGGTCGACGCTGAAGGAGCTGCTTGGAACCTCATCCGCGATCACGTACGCCTGCATGGTGTTCCGTGAAAGATCATCTCAGACCGAGGACCGCAGTTCTCAAGCAAGTTGTTCCGCGCGGTCCTTAAGGGCCTCGGCATCGAGAGCGCCTTATCGACGGCATACCACCCTCAGACCGACGGTCAGTCCGAACGCTGGAACCAGGAGCTGGAAGCCTACCTCCGCATGTTCTGTTCTCTGCGACGGGACGATTGGGTCCACTGGCTACCAATTGCGGAGTTTGCCTTTAACTCACGGGTTCACTCGGCCACTGGGTACCCGCCCTTCTTCCTAATATACGGATACGACCCGGAGTTTCACATTCCGGTTCTCGACACGGAAGTACCAGCGGCGGACGAACGGCGAGAGGAACTACGAAAGGCACGGGAGGACGCAACTGCGGCACTGGGTCTGGCGGCCGAACGAATGAAGGAGCACTTTGACAAACACGTTTGAGAGCTACCGACCATCGTAGCTGGACAGAAGGTCTGGCTCGACACCCGCAATCTGCGCATCACGGGGATGCCGCGAAAACTCGTAGATCGGTTGGCTGGACCGTATGTGGTCAAGAAACAGGTCGCACTACTGGCCTACGAGCTGGTACTCCCCAAGGACATGCAAATCCACCCCGTCTTTCATGTCTCACTCCTCACACCCCACCAGCACAGTGATCTCCCAGGCCGTCATCCACCCAAGCCAGCCCCTCTCGAAGTGGAGGGGGAGGAAGAATATGAGGTTGATGAAGTCATCGACTCGAGACGTTTCGGCCGATGGAAGAAACTCCGGTACCTCGTTCACTGGAAAGGCTGGGGTAACGAGCACAACAGCTGGGAACCGGCGGAAAACCTGGTACACGCCCCTCAGCTGGTCAAGAAATTCTACGCCAAGTTTCCTTCAAAGCCTCGATCGTGAGGACACGATCCTTTGGAGGGGGGTACTGTCACGAACCGCCCTCACGGCGCTACGTTTCCTTTTCGATTCGGACCACTGCCTCGTACGTTTCCTTATTGTTCACTACTCGCTACGGTTTCCCTTTGTCCACACACGGACAATAGCTCCCTTTGTTCCCACGTCCGCTATTGTCCTACACCCCTTGTACTCCGTACCCATGGCGACGCTATTGTTCTCTAGCGCCCATTGTTCGTTCCCTGTATATTAGCTGGATCCCTTGCCTACCTGGAGACTC